TAATGTGATACCAAATAGAGCGCAGATGCTAAGAGACATAATTAACGAAGCAAACACATGAGCTACGGCCGAGAAAATGAGACCAAATTTAGACCTGACGGAATCAAGACGAGTCATAGAGAGGATAGATAGGGGAAAAATTAAATATGCCAACATAAGAAGAGCCTGTTTGGTTAAAGAACCATTCCTATCCGGCTACAAAATTAAATACTCTTAATGGAGAATACGAAAAAAATATTACACATATGGGGTGTCAGCAAATTGCCTCTAAGTAAAACTTTAATCTTAACAACTATTAAACTAAATTTAATAAATTTTTTTTTAATTTTATATATTTAAATAATTAAATTTAAAAAATTTTATCAGTTTAATTTAATAGTTGTCGAGATATTTTAAAAAAATTAGTAAAAATCGTTGCTTGACTTCAACTGACACCCCATATCACCTACACCGTCTCCTTATTAAAAAGGGAGTTTATAGACTAATGATCCAATATAATTTAATACTCGTTCACAGATCAATGACAATTTTCTGGTAAATTTGCCCGAAGACGGCGTAAAGGATGATGAAAATGCGAATATAAGATTCTTACATTTAAAGCTAAGTATACTAGTTCTCCTTGACGATTCATATTTACACTTATAGCGTTATCATCAACAAGTTGAAAAGCAGTGTCTGTATCATTTGTAATTTGTTCCCAAATCGCTTCCCAAATGGCCATTGTCTGACTTTCATTGTAATTTTCTATGTCTTTCAAAAAATAGGTTAATATTATCGAGTCCGCGCTAACAATTTTCCCTTTATGCACTGCATTTCCAAAGATCGAACTTAAAGGAACGGACATCCCAAGAGGGGATATTTTGTTTGCTAGCGAGAGTGTTTTAAGAATAGAATGGTCAGAAACAAGATGGTTGGCATCATTGAACCAATAATCAAGTGGTGAATGGACTAAACATGTATTGCTATCAAGAGGTTTGAGACATATATCCGAAAGGGTATATTTTTCGGCAACCAATGAAGAGGGCTGGCTTGAATACATTATAACAGTATTCATTATACTTTCTTGCAGACATAAAGTCCATAATAATAAATCTTTTTCTAAAACACCAACATTGCTACCTTTATTATATTTTTTCGAGTTAGCCATCTTTATTATAACCTGTTCTACGCGAAATGAAGGTTGAATGCCATATTTTTTAACGAAATTTTCCTTCGATACTTGTGACCTAGATGAAGGTGTCTCCCAAAAAAGCGTATTGCTAGGATCTCTCACAGGATTTAAGTAATAAGTATTGAAGGCAGGATAGCACAAAGGTAGAAATGTAAAGATTGCTAGAACTATTACTGATGTCCGGTGAGAAGCACAAAAAATTGCAAGACGATAAAAAAACTGTGACGTTATTTTAGAACCAACTTGAATCTGGACAAAAAGTGCGAACAAAGTCATAATGCTTTTGTAAAAACAAATTTAAAGTTAAAATAAAATAAATTTTTAAAATTTGAATTAAATACGTATCATTGTTAATGATTATTGCACTAATTTGGACGCACATATAAAATCAGGCGATTCTTGCATATTGGCAATGTAGCTCGTGGAACGTAAATATGGTACCAGAGCCATGATCAACGGAAACCTTTTCATGCCGAACTTCCACAAATGGCATTATGACGTTGAAAAACAATATTGTTATTCATGGCTTGGATAAATTAATTACTAAATTGAGGGAATTTAAAGCTTTTGACATTTGAATATATTATGTAATCACCATCACCTCGGACAGTGCAAATTACTGTCATATACGTTGTAGTACCATATCCAGAATTACCAACAAAATTTCATGTTCAAAGTGATAATAAGAAATTCTTTATATTAAAGGTTAGTAATTAGGATTTGTGTTAAATTAGAAATTAGTAACTATATATATATGTATACCAATTTGCTGACTATTATCATGTGACATCAAATTTTGTTAGTCTTGGCGGGCCGTGGAAACTGAAGATCTTAGGTATCAAAGTGTAAGAGAGTTAAGAGCATTAATAGCATTAATCCAAAACAACTATCAAACAAATAGGCTGCATTTGTACACAATCCAACGGCCCAAGATATTATTATTAAGGAAATTTACTGCTCTAATGATATGCGATCAGGCCAATAAAAATTGAATTGCTCAAAGCATTATATATAAAAGGCAAAAAAAAACATACGTAACACAGCATGTCATGTGTTTAATAGCCAACACTGTGGTTCTAGTAAATGTTGAGCGTTGTGTCCGTAGCTTTTGCCTTATATAAATTATTAATTCCACGTGGTTTACAATAGAGGAGGGAGCACGGGAATTTTTGGAGCGGGCATACTTCGACCGAAGGTATGCCTTTTTTACCGTGCCTTAGACGTCCTATAGATAAAAACAGTAATCAAGTTTCAAGAGATAAAATAGATAAAATGTAGTATAGCCTTCGACCTATTTTAAACCAATAGATCATAATCAATTTTATGATAATAGGACTATACTACATTTGATCCAAACAAAATGCTAGCAATTCTGCAATTTAATTTGCTTTACTTTTTATGAAAATGTGACATGT